TCTAAATTGCTTTGATAGTTGTAAAGTTTATTAATAAAAAATTTTTTCCAATAATTTTGACTCACACTGTATATTATGAAAGAAACAACATCTTTTATATACATAAAATAATAAGTTAAATACTAGTTTGCCTATGTATATACATTTAGCTAATATTGAAAAAGAAATTCAAAACAATACTATATACTAGCTGTGTTTAAATAGTGACTATTCCTACCTACTTAAAAAATTTAGTGAAGTCTTTTTGTAAATTTGTAAGTAAAGTAATTAAAGAAAAGAAAAAAATAAATGTAGCTAAAACTAAAACCAAGTAAAGTAGACTATAAAATCTATAAGTAAAAAATTAATTATTTTCCCAAGACAGGTTTATTGTTCCATTTTTCTGGCTCTTTGATTACCATAAATAATAGAGTATATATGATATTATTTGTTGTTGTAGTTGTTAATGGTGATGTAATTAATGTTGTTGTAATTATTATTATTGTGATATAAAACCAGTTTAAACAGATTCAGTTTTTGTTTTAATTTTTAGATGAAATCTGATTGGATAATTGAAGAGTACTGATTATCTGGAGGTGATAAACTGATTTTAGTTTTTTAATTAGATAAAAATATTGAAAAATTTGAAATAGTGCAGCAAGTATCACCATAGTAAAATTGAATTTGAGGATTAACCTAAAATAAACAGTAGACTCACTAACTCTGTTTAAGTATATGTTTTGGAAAGTATTTTGTTTAGCAAGTATAATAGTGATAATATGGATAGTTTTTATAATAAAATAAGGATAAGGAGAGGTATAAGAAAACAAAAGAATAAAAAACTGTCATGGGCCTTTTCTCATGCAATTAAAGGATAATCAAGACTTTCAAACTTGAGTAAACTTTGATCAGAGGTTCCATCCCACTGCACTAGCTGTCTTGAAGATTCTTGAGTTTCTAAACTAAGACTTATTTGTAATAAAAAGTATAAAATTTTTTTTTTGCTTAAAATTATTATAAAAAGAAAATATTTAATAAAATAGACATGATTAAGAGAAAGTTTTTTTTAATTTGTAATTCAGATATTTTTCAAAAACCATATTATGTTTATATTACTTAGTAACAATTAGTAAATAATTGGAAATCATATTTAATTCAAAATCATATTATCAATTAAATTTTTTTTTAGAATAATAAAAAAAACAAGTAATTTGAATAAAGGTATAAACTATCTGTTAAAAAAAAATATTTTTTTATTCTTTATTGCTTAGATAATTTTCTGTAGACAAGTTAGCATTAAACTTATTGATTAATATACGTAATAATAAATTTAAAACATTTAAAAAAAAATTTTTTTTTAAACATTTCGTGACATGTCTATCTAATCACATGATTGAATATTGTAATTATAGGATATCATTGGACAACTTAACATTTCTTGAGTTGATACAAAAAGCGCGAAAATCTCGGAAACTTCTCCAACTTTACAAACAGGTGAACGTTTTTCACATGTAAAAGATCCGTTAACGGTATTCTACATTTATATTATTGCCCTTTGGTTGATGCTTGGATTAGAGTTGCAGGTAAACCGCAAAGTTAATAAGTGGCTCTCCATACAATGTTGGGGCGCTGTGCTTGCCTGTAAAGTCTCGCAGGCGACCTCTATGCATGCCTATTAAAGTCTTGAGCCTACCGACATTGCCATGCTTGTCTAATGGCAAAACGAAAGTATTAGGATGTTGGGGCGCAGGTGACCTCTATGCTTGCCTGTTAAAGTCTCGCAGGTGACCTCTATGCTTGCCTGTTAAAGTCTTGAGCCTACCGACATTGCTAACCACAGATAACCTCTATGCTTGTCTGATGGTAAAAAGAAAGTATTAGGATGTTGGGGCGCAGGTGACCTCTATGCTTGCCTGTAAAGTCTCGCAGGTGACCTCTATGCTTACC